ACGTGCCCCAGTGCAATCTACCGGAAATCTGTTACAATTCACCGACCGTCGAACAATAGGGACAACATGGTGTTCTGATATGGTCATGCCAGAGCGTCCAGACAGGACCACGCTGTTTTATGCGTGCGCGCTACGGTCCCATATGCAAATCCTTAAAGAGTAAAATTTATTAAGCTCAATACACAGATTCACATGAAAGAGTCAGATCATTCATATCTACTTTGCAGTTGATTTGTACTCTCTGTGTTCACGCAGCTAACGTGCTAGCCTATGAATTTTCCATCCATGCATGTCATTACTCAAATTGTGAAATCCATGCCCCTTCCTTGATCGCCACTAATAGTCAGTATGATATAGAGAAAGCATCGCACATTGTTGCGTAATATCTTTCGAATATTGATTTCTTTAACTGAACAAATGCAACATATTTCCTTTTTTGCGCATAAACTCTTTACATCCTTTGTAGTAACTGAGATAGCGCTGCGTTCTTAAATAGTGCCGCTGCAAACCGGTGGGAAAGCGCATGGAAAGATTCCAAATACAAAAAGCAAATCTTTGTTTTGCACTTTACTGTAGTGCAGTCCTGTTTTTTTGGTCCGCCACTGTGATCTGCATCAGAACCCCTCGGTATAGGGACTACCTGACCCCAAGTGAAATTTGAATGGAATCTCAGAACTTTCTATATTTATTATCCATCATGCGATATATCTGTTCATACTGACGATGCCATAGTGGCAAAAGGAAGTTACTTACAATAATCGATAATGTCATGTCACGCGGGAAATTGCTCGGTTCAGAACTTCTCTGCCCAGGATTCGTTAAGTGTCAAGACATCGCTATGCAACGAAGTCAACGAGGGTTAAAATTACCAGAGCCATTGCATGATCGCTTATTTAAATATGTCTGCAAATTGTTCATGATCTGACTGTGAAGTCTTGTCTTTCATCAGCTTCTTTTCTTGTTCCTATCTACAGTTCGTTTGCGATAGCCAGTACATCGCTCAAAGTAATTTGGGTGTTGTTTACCGATGCAGGTTATCGATGTTCTTTTCATACCACGTGAAATCCAGATGGTTAACGATGAAAATAAATAACGATAAATTTTGAAATATTTGATATCCTAAGGTTTATAACTGTAAGACGGTTATAAGAATACAGTCTTATGTTGTTTTTACTGGTTTGGACAGGGAAATGATCAGATTATGATTTAAGTCATTCTTATAAAATGAACTAACATTTGTTCTTTCGTTGCTTGGTCACATTAGCTGTAATTTGGTAGCAAGCAAATCTGGGCCTGTTCTGATTTTAAGTAGGAAGTACGAGCAATGAAATCAGTGCGCTGTTTTTCCGGAGGATGGTAAATGTAGTTTCGCTTAAACGTCTCTTCTTATAGTAAAGACTACGTTCAGTCTGTTTCCTTATGTTTAGGACCATTGAGGGTTGTATTTATTACGGCGATCCACAGTACGCGGCAAACGCGTCGAATTATCTCTCGCTATCAGCGTGCTGTAGAAGTGCTAGTTTATCTGCCTCTGAGGAGTGACAAGCTAAATACCCTGGTCATGATTTTTCGGTTGTCATTATGGCCCGAGCTATCTGTATTCACGAAAATTATTACGAACTGTAATAATAATCGGTTGTCATTATTGTTTAAGTTATGACAGTCCCAGCTGAGGTAATTTTCGTCGCTCTACAATACCACCTTACGTTTTCACCATATAAACTGGCAGTTGTTTTCGCTCCATAACAGCACAGATGAATAAACATTTCTAGTCGTTTTGACGTTGATTGTTCACATCTCCATGATGGATGCAATTCTTTTGAATGACGCGACGTCAATTAAAATTTTGAAAGTACCGTCCAACACTTCAGTACATGGCAAATGCCGTGTGTAGTCTCCTGCTTCATACCAGTGAAGAGGTATTAATTTTCCGATCTGTGACAAAGCAAACTGCTGCCACTTTGACTACTTAATTGTAACTTCTTCGCTCAAACGATTGAGCCATCGAGTTCTATGGAAGACTTGATATCTGCATTATGAGTCGTACTGGTATAAAGAAGTTTCTGTGAGTACATGCTTTACCGGACTGGTGTCGTGCATCAGACTTCGACGCCTGAAGTCATTGATATTATTTTACTCTTCTTCGCGAGTAAATTATGAGTCCACATTCCGCCGCATTCAGCAGTTTGGTAAATGCGACTGAAGCAACTTTTGTTTCTTACTGAGAATTATGGTTTTAAAATGTCTGAAATGCAGATGTTGGTGGAAACTGCGTACAGCCGAACGTAGTCGAATAGATCCGTTGAGACTACTAATTTTTCCTCGGAATGCAGCGAGGACGAAATCACTTATCAGAGATTGATCGTGGTGCTTAGCCTAATCTGCAGGCTTTCCTGTTTCTCCAGTGACTCTGGTTGCATCACGCCATAGAAAGACCAGCTCCATCCGTCTCTGGCTTAAACAAAGATCAGGAGGAATGGAAGTACATGTCACATCACCGTTCAGTCACCCGACGAGAATGGTTAGCATAGTGCATGGTTCGTACCGCGCTGTTGATTAATGCCTAACTGTTCAAAGGCTTAATTTAACGGTTCAAGCGTATTGCGTAGATCCTTGCGGTTTGAATGGAGGGGGCATTTGAACTCGCTAAGATTCCGTGCTATTTTAGCCATTGTTGTGTAAGAT